GCTTTCATGCAAAAGTATGATACCATACACAGCATAGCACTTTTTCATTCCACACTCATCTTTTGAAAAGTATACTAAGACCCAGAATTGCTTTTCTATGAAAATACATAATATGGTAAGTTACACTTCATTGAATGTTAATAATGTCTTATTATGTGTCATTCATTCATTAAAACTTTACTGTATTAATATAAATTACATGACTACCTCACTACATATAGTTCTCAATATTATCTACAATTTATATAACTGAGAAAGTAAAATGTATCACCAATGGATATGAAAACAGTACTTGATATCTTTTAGAGATGAATGCAATGTGAATTGATTCTAATACAAATGCAATATCATAATTTCATCCAAAAGATCATAATACCAAATGACAAAATAACAACTATACAAGTACTTGAAGCAAGATCAAGACAAAACTGGGATTCCGATACAAAATTTTGGTGAAAACATAATGACTTTTGAGGAAGTTGATGTTTCCAGCAATATGCGAGTGGTTTGAAAATATGAGCGGGTCCACAAGTTAATGAACAATTTTACCATATATTTGTGAGCACTCTATTAGAGGTAGTGCTGTGAATTTTTATAATGCTATTACACCTACATCAAAGTTCTTCCCACAATCAGTTTTGGTTTAATAATATACATATAACGTGAGGATTTGGAGGATAAAAAATACTGATGTCACAATGGAGATTAAATGGTACAATCCGAAAGTGAATATTTAGTGTGGGAGGCTCATGACAAGATTTTAGGAGCATTTAAAAATAATTCAATGAACAAACCCATCAATTCAATGATAAAAACCAGAGTTTACCTTGATATATTAATTCACTGCATTTTCAGGATCGTCAAGATCATTTTGTTGCAAATCAAGGTTGCATAACACAAACCAATGGCTGAGTGTTAAAAGTCAATGAACACTGGTAGTTAGATCCAGGGTTCAAGTCCCAGTAAATAGGCTGGCTTGTATGGGCATTTTCATGTCTCCCCCCCCCCTGTAATGTGGAGCCAGTTTATCTTATAAAGTCCTCCAAGGGACTTCTCACTCTTTCCGTGTAAAGCCTAATGGCGGTGCACGTTATAAATAATAAAAGTTTGTAACTTGTCACAAACACTTTGAACCTTGCTTGTGAAAGTGTGACAGTACTAACGTCGTTCTATTCCCAAACAAGCTGTTAAAATTGTTCGGGGACTTTATGACCACTTTGCACATTTGCCACACCACGGAAATGACTTTTGTAACATAAAATCCATTAACAATATTGCTGGATAGACAACTAGTGGATGAACCATTATTTTCAATGTTATTTTCTCAATAGCATAATCCCTTCAAAAATGCTCTATGGTCAACCTGCAAAAAGTTGCCAGATGTTGTTACCAATCAAAAAGAAATCAAATATAATCAAAAGGAAAATAAATTCTCCAATATATATAGATTTAAATATGGAGGAAAAAAAACCCCGCAATTTTGGAAGTGATTTCATTTCACAAATTGAGCACTCAGAGGGTTCATATATCTGTTTTTGGTTTACAAATTACATTGTTTAAAAGCAATAATAAATGGAGTTATTTGCCTTCATTATTATTAATAACTAGCTGGACCTGGGAAATTACACTATCTGGGCTCATTAGAATCATCATTTTTCTCTTTTCTTTTCTTACATATTTTTTAGGTGGCTGGCCACACAAGCAGCTAACCCATTAAAAGAACGCAAACATTTCTCCCTTCCAGTCTAAATGTAAATTAAATCAAGTTTTTTTTTTTTATTTTTTTTTATTTGCACAAAACGGGTAAATATACGAAGAGCTTTGAATTACAACTGTTTAAAGTAATTTTGTTGAAAAACATGGAAATTGTTCAAAGAATGAACATGTAAATTATTGCGATATTTCCATTTAATGGCTCATTCAATTTTATATTCTTGCTGATACAGTATGTTTAAAATTTTTTCATCATCATGAAATAAATTATTAATTTATTAATGCTGTTTTGACACTGGAGGATGTAATCATGTTTCTCTTTTCAAAATTATCTGCATTATATAAAAATGATATGCTATGGGTTAGTTTGAAAATGATGCAGATTAGATAGGTTAAATATAAGCAGATATTATTAATATGAAAAGGGAAAATATCCAAACTAAAGTAGATAATTAAGGTTCTTGCAAATTAAAATTAGTAACTTAATTTAAATACTTTTTATCTTAGATATTTAAGATAAAAAATATTCATCAGTCCATTTAGTTTTAGCCCATTTAGTTTAGTCATTAAAGACAGCATTCAGTAAAGATGTGATGAACCACCTGACATTTAAGTGATATTCATATTTCAAAAAGGGAAAGTTTTATTGGAGGATAAACCTTTTCCTAACTACCCTCCCATCAACCAAAGGGGGGGGGAAGAGCCACTGCTTGGGATTGGTCAAGTCTTCAACCGAATGTTCAAGAAAGTAAACGACAGAAAAATAACAGAAAACAAACATTTTAACTGACTTGAGTTCCCAGATTTTATGAGATCTAGAGATGATTCATGTGCCAGTAAAATTTGTTCCCAGGCAGATTATGAAAGAGCTATTTGACCATTCGCAACATCTTATCCAATATTCACAAAAGGATGAATCTTGGATTCATGGATAAGATCTTGAGATGACACCTGAATCACCAACTTGAGGCATCCACCTGAATCATCATCTTGAGATGACACCTTCAGAACAAAGATGACACCTGAATTTTTAAGATCCCTCAACATACACTAATTTAATATAAACTGGTGTGTAAAACTTAAGCAACAATATAAAAATTTAGCAGATAGCCATGAAATTGCGAGAAAAGGAGGTCTGGAGATCAGTACAATGAACATGCAAGTCAGTAGAAACGTCATGCGTATGCAAATATCAGGAACAAAACATCAGAGGCGACGTGAGTGTATACAAAATGCGTGATGTCAGCAAGTACAGCTCAACAGTAGAATAAAAGGAAGGACAAAGACGCAATTCAACATATTCGCTGCAAGTGCCAGTGAGTCAGTTCGTGAAATATGGCTAGAAGAAATCACCTGGACGACTTCACAAGTGGAAGAATGATCGGAAAGCTGGAAGAGGGGCGTACTGTCACCAGTATAGCTGCAGAGTTCGGAATCAACAAAAGTGTCATTTCGTGCACTTGCAAAACGTTCCAAACCACAGGTACAGCTGTTAGAAAGGTTGGTGGTGGCTGCCCGGGGACGATAATTGCAGGGGATGCACGATATCGTCCTGCAGGTGAAAAGAGGCCGACAGCAGTCAGCAAGCGCCATTGCTCAGCAACTCTGTACAGCAACGGGGTGACAAGTGTTGCGGTTTACTGTGGCCAGACACCTTCACAAAGGGGGACTATTCGCCCACCATCCTGAACACTGCCTCCCGTTGAAAGTTGGCCACCGATGCCATTGTTTACAGTGGTGCAGAGAGCACCAAAAACTGGACAACTGAACAATGGAGTTGTATCTTCTTTACGGATGAGAGTCGGTTGAGTACCAGAAGCGATTCTCAACGCGTTTTGATTTGGAGAGAGGTCGGGACCCAGTTTTATCCCACTAACATCAAGGAAAGACACTGTAACAGTGGTCCTGGAGTTCTTGTCTGGGCAGGCATTATGCTGAATGGGCAAACTGAGCTCCACGTTTTCGACAGAGGGTCTGTAACCAGGGATCGCTATTGTGAGGAGGTACTCCTTCCCCACGTGCGTCTGTTCCGAGGTGCCACTGGCCCAGACTTAATTTTTATGGAATAATAATGCACAGCCACATCGGACTCTTGCTGTTGATGAGCTACTGGAAAGTGAAGATATCACTCGAATGGATTGGCCAGCGTACTCCCCAGATTTAAATCCCATCGAACATGTGTGGGATGCTTTGGGGAGATGCATTGCAGCACGCTTACATACTCCGGAGAACACCCAACAACTCAAACAGATGCTGATTGAGGAATGGGCACTCCTATTGCAAGAAATGTTGCACCAGCTGGTTCTGAGTATGTGGAGACGGTGCGAAGCAACCATTACAGTGAGGGGAGGGCATATCCCATATTATGGAACATCTGCTAGTTGTTCTTCCTCTTGGATAATCATGAGTCACGATACTATGCATTCAATAAAGCTTGTTTTTGTTCGATTCCATACCGTATGCATTGTATTCCTTTTTCAGCTCTGATGCTTTCGTCATCCTTTACGTATATAATACTCTCCTTCATTTCTGCATTTCATGTCTCTCAGTAGATTTCTCGTGGAGTTATGGCAAAAACCCCTGCTGTTGCTTAAGTTTTGCACACCAATGTATATATTAGATTATGACTAAAGTTCTACTTCTATAATGCTTATATGTTAGTGCTAACAAAGAATGGTTCTGGACCTCTGAAAACTGGTATCTGCATCACGATAACACTCTGTATTACATATTAACAATAGTACTGGATTTTTTAAGCCAAAAAATACATTCCAGAGGACCTGCAGCAGCCCCTGCACTCATTTCATTCTGCCACTTGCAACTTTGTCCTATTTCTTAGTTTGAAAGCTAGGGAAAAGGAAAGGAAAGCTAGGAAAAAAAGGTTTGAAAGAGAAAAGATTCCAAGACATTTTGGATAATAAACAAAACAAAATGAGGAAACCACAGTATTCCAAAACAACTATTTCAGCACTGTTTATGAAGCGCCAATGTTAGGTTACGTGTATAGAAGACGGAAGGCACTATTTTGAAGTTGACAACACAGATTAGCACCCTATTTCAATATTTTAAGGAGATGAATCAATCAGTAGCAGAATTAAATAGCCCGTGCATCAGGAAGTCTGTGATATATAATAATTTTTGTTAAAGGCTACAAAGTAAGAACTCATCAATTGCATGTGTTCCAACTGCCATTTATGACTTACATAAATGCTAATTTAATGTTATTAAAGTTTAAAAATTATTTTTGAAAAAGAGAAAAGAAAGAAAATTGCTTTACAGGCACTTACAGCCTTTTGTGCTGGAGAATTCTGATCCACTAAATCAACTCTTGCAAATGGTTTAGAATAGCCTTGTTGTATATTTAAAGAAGCTAAACTAGTGGACACTTTTTCCTCAGCATGAAGAGCATACAGGTTTTGTTCTATTTCTTTAGTCAAAGCTTTGCAGTCATTCTCTTTGCCTAAAATGAAGACAGCAAATTAAAAGTACTATAAAAAAATTTCACAATCAATATTCTAACTGAGAATGTAAGATTGCCAAATAATGCAGAACTGCATTATTTATATACATTATTCCTTCTATTCCTCCCCCCCAAAAAAAATCAATTACTCTATTAATTAATGTAATTTTGGACTTAAACATATGATTTAGAGAAGCTGCTAACTTTCACAAAATATTATAAAAATTATATGCTTACGAATGATTTCATGCCTTAAATGGCACACAGCATAGATATCAATGTCACTGCGGGGATAGCCTTCACCATCAACCAAAGGCTCAGTCATTGATACATTTTGCTGCAATAAAAAAAGTCACATTTAAGACTTTATGAAAAAAATTCAAATAAAATGAAAACCAAATGATTATTATCAAAACAAAATGTTAAAATTAAAAAAAGGTTACATGATTTTTTCCATGATTTTTTCCACACTTTCCATGTGGAATCTTTAACTTCAAAATCCTTCAGGAAGTCTTTAAATGTTAATAATGTCTGCAAGATTCACAAAGTTCTTGAGGTAATTTACAGTATGATGATCGTATCCTAATTGGCCACCACTCATGATAGTTGAACTAAGTATTAGTTGTTGCCGGATCATTGTAATGTTGCAGCATCTCTTTGTTTGACAACCTAAAAGGCATGTTTTGATGAGTTTATCAGCTCGACATTTTAAATCAAACACCCATGTTCCTTCTATTCATTTGCCATGATTCCTTTGGCTCATGATTCCTTTTCTGCATCAGAACTATCTGAAGACACACCTCACCTTGATTATTTTCAGGTATAATATGGCCTCTGTTGCATTTTCACTTTCTTCATAGAAGTTTCCTCATAGTTAATTAGTACAATGCAACTGGGGTTGTCAGAAAGCTGTCACTTGTCAAGCATTCCCATGCAGGCATGACGATATAAACAGTATCAGTTATAGTTCGACTGTCTCAAACAAAAACTTAACTGACATTCTGACAAAATACATAGATTCGTCCAAAAGGGGTATAAGCTGCGAGAAGTGCTCTCTTTGTTAGAAAGATACATCCGAGGGAGGGAAAGTCCCTATGTCATTCAGCGATGCTGTCATCATTGTATTTCAAACCTTCGGGTTTGTTTTACAGTATTTATACACTGCTCGACATTGAAAATGCAACACCAAGAAGGAGTGGTCAGAAATTTATGCAAATTTTAGAGCAGACGCACGTCACTGAGTTTTGCAAATGATGTGAAACGCACAGCTCTCCGACGCACGTGAAGTAAGATATAAGGGAAGGAACGTGCAAAATGGGCAATATTCGTGTCGTTATTTCTGCCAGACAAATTATTGAAAAAACTTGGTTTTGTATCGATGATACGTGTAATAGCGGAGAATGCCAGGTCGCCATCAACGAAGGTACTTCCAGCAGACAGACGATTTTACGAGGGGTATAAGGTGATCAGACTGGAAAGGGCGAGTTGGTCCTTACGTAAAATAGCAGCTGATACCTACACGAATGCGAGCACGGTACATCGGCTATGGCAAACATGGTTGCAACAAGGAAATGTGGGAAGAAGGAGGGGTACAGGTGCAGCCATGGTGACCTCAGCCAGAGTGAATCGTGGTACAAGTGACTTGCACTGCGATTCTGCAGCATGTGCAAGATACCCTGGATGTTCCCGTGTCGACCAGAACCATTTCCCGTCAATTGGTTGAACGTTGCCTGCACTCACGGCATATGTTAAGAAGACTGCCATTGACCCCACGGCATAGATGCCAACGTTTAGAATGATGATGGACTGGAGTGATGTGCATGACAGTATGGAGATTTCCGGTTATGTTTTTACCACCAATCCTCGAATTCCATATCACAGATTATGTTCTTACTGCATTAATATAATATTAACAAGACATAGTGCACAATAAAAATTAAACTTTATTTAGGAACATCGCGCATACTCCCCGACAGCCTGCCTGTTTCGCTCTGCTCGCTACTCGTAAGAAACTTCTCCTCTAGGGTTGCCACACTTATCGGAGGGCGCAAGGCGCGCTCCTTATCGCCATCACCACAGAGTTTCCCCCCAGTTCCTTTAATGGCTATTCAAAGGAACGACATATGGTTATGAATTATCTCAGAGTATCCGTACTGTCGGGTATTTTTTTCATGATTACAAAATTAGAATATAAATTTGAAAAGATCAAAATGAAATTCAATATATAACAAGGTATTGACACATATAATAAACATGAAATAACAAGAAATATGTTAAGATATGAATTTAAAAAAAATGTTTTAAATTGTTATGTAAGAAGCAAGTTTCTTAGGGAAGTGAACATGTCTTCCCGATCTGGTGACAGTTTGTGTCTTAGAGAGTTCGTTTGCAGATTTATTCTGCTGAACTGTCTTTAAGTCTTTATTTGTTTTCAGTTCAGGCAAATTAGAGTCCGAAAGCAAATAGGCTGGTTTCACACGGTCTATAGACACAGTAGATTTCAGACCGTTAACATCAATTGTGAAAGTTTTGTCCGTTCTAGAAAGGACTTTATGCGGACCTGTATATGGTTGGCACAGAGGTGGCTTTACTCGATCGACACGTAAGTATACATGCGTACACGACTTTAAGGTAGCACTTACGTAACATTTTTCTTGGCAATGTGCAGATGTTGCTATTGGATTCAATTGTTGCATTCTATGCCTAAGATTCGTGATAAATTGTGTGTCATACGGAGATATCTTAGATGACGTTATCATATCACTAGGCAGCTTGAGAGTTGTGCCGTACACCAGTTCAGCACAAGATGACTGTAGATCTTCCTTTACGGCTGTCCGAATACCAAGCATAACAACTGGTAGTGTTTCAGTCCAGTTATTGGTCTCGTGAGCCTTGAGAGAAGATTTTAAATGTCGATGAAATCATTCAACAATGCCGTTTGACATTGGATGATAGGCTGTTGTTGTGATTCTGTTCGTACCCAAAATGCGCGTGAATTCTGCAAAAAGGGGGAACTCATTTGAGAACCTTGGTCTGTTGTTATGATCGATGGGCAGCCAAAACGAGATATCCAACAGTTGAAGATGGCTCTGCAAATGGTTTCCGTTTTCATATCCGGGATGGGAATGGCTTCAGGCCATCTGGAAAATCTATCTATGAGAGTTAAAAGGTACACATTGCCTTCTGATGGAGGTAACGGTCCGACGATATCCATATGGATTTCTGAAAAACGTGCATCAGGAAGAGAGAATGTGCCCAGTGGTGCTTTAGTATGCCTAGTAATTTTCGATTTTTGGCAAGATTCACAGGATTTCACCCAATTTTTGATATGACGTTTCATATCGGGCCATACATAACGAGAACAAATAAGCTTCGTAGTAGCTGCAATTCCTGGATGTGACAGATTATGCAGATGATTAAAGATGAGTCTGCGAAAGGAATTCGGAACAAATGGACGAGGAATGTCCGTTGATATGTCACAAAGAATATTACCATCAGAATATTGGCACGGTTTAAATTCCAGTTTCAAAGATGATGTGTTGTTTTTGAGAAGGTCTTGTACCTCCGGATCATGCCTTTGAGCTTCCGAAAATTTTTTAAAATCCAAAAATGGAGATTTTGTTATGGAATCAATTTCGATTCTTGAAAGAGCGTCAGCAACGACGTTTTTTGAACCTTGCACATGCCTAATATCAGTAGAGTACTGAGAAATAAAATCTAAATGTTGCAATTGTCGAGGTGAACATTTATGAGGGTTCTGTTTAAAAGCGTATATTAACGGTTTTTGATCCGTATAAATTATAAAATTTCTGCCCTCTAACATGTGTCGGAATTTCTTAATTGCAGAATAAATAGAAAATAATTCCCTATCGTACGCGGACCATTTCTGTTGACTTTTATTGAGTTTCATAGAGAAAAATGCTATAGGTTCCCATGTTTGTTGAGACAACTGCATAAGTGTGCCGCCGATTGCGACGTCTGAGGCATCTACCCAGATGCTTAGCTGGGCTCCGGGAATAGGGTGTCTCAAAAGGGTAGCCTGAGCAATGGCATTTTTGGCAGCAATAAAGGCTTGTTCAGCATTCTCGTTCCAATTTAATTGTGGGGATGAATCCTGAACACGAGAACGAGATTTCTTTTTATTAATATAGCCTTCTAACAATTTTATTAAAGGAGAAAGAATATGTGCTGCTTTAGGTATGAAACATCTGTAAAAGTTAAACATGCCTAAAAATCGGCGAAGCTGAGTGAGAGTGGTAGGTTGAGGAAAATCTAAAATACATTTGACTTTGTCAGGAAGAGGTTCAATTCCGTTTTCACTAAGGTGAAAACCTAAGAAATCAATAGATGTTTGACCAAAGGTGCATTTTGAAACATTTATGCAAAGTCCATATTCCTGAAGTTTGGAAAATAAAGCTTTCAAATGCCTGCAATGTTCCTCAGAATCTTTAGAGGCTATGAGCAAGTCATCGACAAAAATGTAAACACCTTCTAAATCCCGTGTGACTTCATCTATAAAACGTTGAAAAGTCGCGGATGCATTGCATAAGCCGAATTGCATACGGGTACTTTCGAATAAACCGAATGGTGTGCATATGGCGGTTTTGTGGATGTCGGCTGGGTTAATTGGTATTTGATGGTATGCCTTAATCAGGTCGACATGACTAAAAATTTTAGTACCGTGCAATGCAGCAGTAAAATCGGCTAAGCATGGAATAGGGTATTTGTCTTTTATTGTTTGAGCGTTCAATGCTCGATAATCTCCTACAGGTCTCCATTCCAGACTTCCCTTTTTTGGAACCATGTGAAGTGGGGATGCATAATTGCTGCTCGAAGGTCTCAAATGCCCCTAATTGCATCATAGTTTGAAATTCTTGTTTTGCTATTTTTAAGCGATCTGGAGCTAACCGACGAGGTTTTGCAACCACAGGTGGACCTTTAGTTATGATATAATGAACGGTGTTGTGTTTAACAGGTTGGTTAGGATCTGGTAATCTAGTAACTGAAGGAAATTCTTTTAAAATTTTGTGATATGGTGTATCATTAAATACAGTTTTTACTGAATAAATGCTTGCATTTTTCACGCAACCGACGGTTTTAAAATGCGTTTTTAAATCTTTGAGACATTTGTTTCTGAGATCAGGCACCAATTCAAAGAAATGGAGAAAATCTGCTCCAAGAATGGGTGTACTAACATTTGCTATAAGAAAAGTCCATGTAAACTGTCGTCTTAATTTGAAATCCAAAGAAAGTGTTTTTTGACCATAAACATGAATAGTAGAAGAATTAGCAGCGAAAAGTGTTTGTTGGGACGAATTCCGTTTTTGAGAATTATTT